GGTTGCTTGTTGCCGATTAAATAAAAAAAACATGAAAACGAGATATCTCGTGACCCGTCCGCAACGTTCAATTTGCTAAAAACGAGATATCTCGTGAGCCGTCCGCAATGTGTTAACTTCAGGTTCTTAACGTTGTATATTAAAAAATATGTGTATAGTACAGCACGTTTGCTGTGCAATGCAATGAAAAGTTAATCAAGACGCTAATTAGTAATTAGTAATTACAAATAATCATATGATTATTCATATGAATTCAGAAGAACCTGAAGTAAATGATTTAGAGATAAATCGACGCTTTTGCATCTTATATTTGTTGCGTCTGTTTCACTTTGTCTCGATTGTTTTACGCCTCCTGACTCGTCGCGAGTCTCGTTCGCCCGTGGTTGTGTAAATAATACACACACACACACCCACATAAAGCACAGGAACACGCGTCTGATGTGTTCCTAGCCGAAAATGGCGCCCGCAGGGGAGCGAGACGTACCAGGAGTCGGGAGGCGTTGTTTATTTCTATTCGGCCGAACTCGAGTCCCTCGTTTCGTGGAAATTCAGTGTTGCGGCTAATTTGGGGCTCATAGGAAGGGATCATTTCTGCCAATAAGGGAAACGCGTTTTACCCTACTCCTGCGAGGGCGTTAACACGGGTAGGTTGATAGGAACCGATCCTATACTGTTTTTAGCGGACTTCTTCTGAGCAACGGACGATAGTAAACGGAATGCTTCCTTTATCGCTGATTTTTGTAAACACTATTTCGGACGGAGGCAACTACGATAGAAGAATAGACAACTAAATCCTTTACAAAGATGAATAAACTTTAAAGTCGATTTTCTCGAAAACGGAGCCTCGGATTAAAAAATGTTATACCTTTGAAATCTCATACAGATGAGTTTTTCATCAGCTATCCAACGGTACAATACTTATTAACACTAGAGTTACGGAACCCGTCAAAATAACGGGGGTCACTAATTTGTTAATTTGTATTGTTCATATCGTAAAGATACATTTATGAGTTATTTATTCAATTTATATGTTACTTACGGCAAATGTTACAATAACACTTGTTAACAATCAGAATAAATATCCTATTATTATTTTTATAAACAGCTGTTTTTTGTGCTCCGTAAATCTAGTGTTAAAAAATCTCTGCAATTTTTACCGTCTCAATCGACCAGGTCCTTTGATTCTTATTTTTTCATGTAGGATCACCCTCCGCTTGGCTGTACTACGAATTCCGAGCCACCCTGTATGCAGTGGGCCCAGTTTCACTCGGAAACTGTCGATATTAATAATGCTAATAAGCGACATGACCTTTTACACTTCAAACGAATCTTAGGCAAATACCTGTTACCTAATACAAATACTAGGAAACATCGAGATTAGGAGGAACAGGATACACCGAGGACGAGGAAAGGAAAATCGCGTCTCGGGGAAGGTACATACATACTTCATACGGAACCGTTATACTCGGAAGAGATCAACTATCTAGATTACCATCTACTTCCGGAACGTAAGTGGCTATAAACAAGTCTTAGCCTCTTGCGAATTATTTTCTTCACAGTTACAATAATTAGAAATTTTTCGATTGCAATAATTTCATCGAAGAAGAAAAGGATTTATGTTTATTACGAATCAGATTTACATGAATCGACCATTTCTCGAATCATTTACCAAAAGCTCGAACTACAAAATTCGCGGAGTAGTAAGTAAAGCTTTAAAGGAAATATAAATTCGATAGAACGTTGGAATTAATTAGCCTGTTCAAATGAAATTTATAGCAAGAATTGCTAATTTTGAAAGTACCATAATTATTTTATCACAATTGAACAGCAAAATATTTCAAAATCGGACCAGTTTTCTACTAAGAAGAATGTATTACGTGAAAACTAAAAACGCTAGAAAGTTTTGCCTAAGCTCAAGAAAATAGAAGAGACTTTCCAGAAGACAATTGTTTTTTTTATTATTATTAGCTAGTGTATGAAATGATAAAAACGTGGAAAATTAATCTGTTACTACAAAATCAAATAGAAAGACATTGTTGTCAAGGGTTAAATCATGCAGCTCTGAATGGTTGTAATTGGCTTTCAAAGTTTGAAAATGAAGGTCTAAGTATACTTTCAACGCAAGACTTTTGCATTTTTATGAAGAGTTCTTGATCTAGCATAAATTGGCTGTACAATTAGTTTATTTCATAAATGCACTGAATAAACATTATTCACTACTGATCGTAACTGCGCATCGGATATGATACATGACACACACTGAAAGTGCTTAATAGCACTTCTTTGCATTGCTGGAAAGTGAGAGTTATAGCAGTCTGACCTGATTTTTGTATGCAACCTGAATATTACGTATTTTCTCTGTTGATGGTATAGCAAGGTCGAGAAATGTGATACAATTACTTCAAACAAAACAGGAGAAATTAACGAAATGATTAAGAAACGTGAAACAAACGTAGGATAAGAAGAACGAAATAGTTTCGTAGCATTTGTTTAAGATAAAAGCATAAACAAATGAACGAATAGATGTTTGCGGAACGAAAAAACAAAATGGAGAAAGTTACACGAGAGTAGTCAATTAACACAAATAGTTCCTTGGAACAGTGCTTTATCATTTTAATTTCGTACATAAGGTGAACAAAATAAATCGATCATTTTGAATATTTTATTTGTTTTCCATTAATTTTAAACAATATATCAAAATAAATCATTGTTTGGTTTGAAAGGACAAACGTTATATTCTTCGCGATTTTAAGATCATCTACATTCTAAACATTTTTTTGTATTATATGTAGGTAATTTATTTATTTAAAAAGAACATAAGCAGTTCAATTTTTATGATAGAAATATGATGAAATGTTGCAGAATTTACTACCATGTAAAAGTCAAATAATAAATTAGTCTCGGTATCTTCGATCAACATGCAAACATCGTTTACAAAATGAAACACGAACAAATTGTTTGTAACTCATATTCTTATTATACGATGAGCGTGAATTGGATTTTTCTTAACGACGGTGGAGTTTATTTAAATAAAAGTATGTGCTCCTCGTTGAAATAAATGCCATCTTCAAACGATGACAATGACATACCACCCGAGTGCAACAGCACGAAGTAATAAAACAGATAAATAGATAATGATTTAAGTAATGGTCAACTCTGATTTTATCTGCAAATGATGGATGAATGTTCAAGTGACCATCATTATTTAGATTCTTACGGATTAGATCAATGGAAACCTGTTTGAACGATCGTCTGCGGGGTCTATGTGTATAGATAAAGATCGTGTTCAATAAACATTCTGTGTGAAGTTATAAAATAAATGTTATTACACTAGAATATCAGTTATTGAAATAAATAAGGCGAAGTCACTATATAGATTAGAGTGATTATTTGAATATTAGATTAGTTATTTTCCTTTGTTTGTATGCATTTATTTCAAAGAAAATTTCAATTCAATTTCAATTTCAATTTCAATTTCAATTTCATTTTCATTAGAAAAACTCAACAAATGCAGAATCCTTCGTCGTTAATTTGATGTGTTGTTTTGTTTAGAAAACTTTTAACATACATATAAATACGAGAAAAATGCAGCGTATTGGTGGATTTATTATTCATAATTACGGAAAAATAATATTATTATTGATTAGGATCTTTAATAGTTTACGGGAATACGCATAGTGGAACTCACATTTTGGGATTAAAGGGCAACTTTTTTTCCTATTTGTACATTTTCTATTTTTTTTAAATAATGTATCAGAAGCTCAAAGCTATAGCGGTGTACTACTTCCTAAATAAATTATAGTGGTGTAATACTTACTAACTTGTATTGTCCACTGACCAAATTTATACGTACGTTAATTCACAGTGAAATTAATTTATAGTTACATTATAAATGATGTCACTGGTCTTTTTAACATTTTGGCATGTGCGGATTACATATAAACACTTGAGCCAAAATTTTCGAAAATATGACTACATCACTATGTCTTTAATCTTCTCATGCTAGAAATTGCGGATATTACACAATTTTCAAGCTCAGCGTTCAAATTTAAAACATAGATCGCTTTCTAAACAACGTTATGAACTGATCAAATCCATTTAGGAGAACTTGTCTCTTGATAAATTGTTAGTGATACATACTGTGTGGGATGCAAATGTTAAGTAACGATGAAATTGTTTAAATTCGACGATTTCTGATTTAGACGTTTGCATTGAAGTACATATCTCCATTCGAAGGAGAGCGTAGCTGAAATCGTAACCTAGTTGCCGGTATGAATTTTCACTGAAGGGTTCATACCACTCTGCACCATGATAAGAGTTATACCGGTAACCGTTGGGTCAGAGATCCATTTGCACGGTTCGTGAAGAGACGAAAAGTATGTCAAACAGTTCGTGTGCAGAGAACGTTCGACGCCGCCGAAGAGTCCACGAAGTGGCATCAAAAAGTTGGGGAAATTAAAACAGGTGTAAATGTTAATGAATATGGACGGATTCGATTACAGATCGAGAATAACCGATTAGTAACAATATTTTAATAAATATATTATTAACATTACATTTTTCTACGGAATGAGTACGATATCGCCAAATTTAATAGGTTTTGACATAAATACTGTAACTATAAAATGTCTCAGATTTTTGTCTTTCTTAGGAATACAAGAGCAGACGTTAATCGAGAATTTTTAATATTATCGTCAAATTAAATTTTCTTCTTAACGAAAAACTCGAATTTCTTTTTCCTCGAATTTTCATATGTTTGTACGCTAACAAATATAAATTCTATTTTATTAGACAAAATCACATTTGCAATGCTTGCCGTTTTCAATTTTATCTGAAATTGTCATTAGCAACACAATTAATAAAATTTGTCGCAGGAATGGGAGAAAATTAGAATGAATTAATAGTTAATAAGTTTGAAAGAGACTTATTTTGTATACTACGCTGATATAGGTAAAATAAATATGATCATCCGATCGTAAAAAATGACAAAAGTTTTGATATTTGTTTGAAACTGTTACGATTGTTGTAATTCTTCAGAATAATGATAACAACATTAATAATGATAACACAAAACCAAGTTTGTGTGGCATATATACTACAACATTCACTTTTGTTATTTCTAATCGCAAACGTTTAATCTTAATTAGTATACTTTTTAGATTAGCAATGATTGGTTACGGCGCAATTGTAAAATATTGACAAAACTTCGTAATTGCATGAACGTATTATTGGATGAAAGATGAAATAATTCGTGCACGTCGTTTTTAGTATGATCGCGTATGGACTTCAATTAGTGCGATGTATAAAAATTACAAAATACATACGTCACGATTGCTTTTTGACAAATGTTTTCGCGTCGAATGTTATAAATCGCCTTTTTACGCTTCTGTACAAGGAGAACCCGGAAGATTTGGCCTAAAAGAAAAATCAACGTGTCAAAAAATCGTTTCCTCCATTGGTCCTTTCGGAAATTGTGATTTAAAAAGTATTAGTAATTATTTTTATTATAATTAGATAGTAAATATTAATAGTAGTTACTTAAGAAATTTTCAGTATTTAATAGCTAAGATTAGTAGAGATCAATTATTTGCTTTCACTCGTATTTAATATTTAAAATAATTAGCTATTTTGATTGCCAATTGTTTTGAGAAACTGTTTTAACACTAAATGTAATTATTAAAATCACAAAGATGCTTCCGTTGACGATTGTTGACTATATTTCTTAATTCAGGCATTATACAATTTTTTTATGACTTTTTACAATTTAAATAAATTTAATAATAGTTTCAGTCTTACAATATTTACAGGGCGATACGTACCAACCACTTTTAGATCTCGGTACGTTTATTGCTAAAATAGAGAAACTTTAAATTTTTTAAAAATTAATGAAACCCCCCATTTCAGCCCTTAAATTTAGAAAGCCGCACAAAAGCAACATTTAAAAAGCTTTTGTTTCGAAAGGATTAGTGTCCGAACAAGTAGATCAACGAACTCCGCTTTGTTCCACGTAGATGTAACTCAGCTTCTCAGTTGTTAGAGGATTCGCTGCATTCTTCTGCGCGATCATTACCGCTTGGGCAATTTGGCCGGTAGAGAGCGGAGACTTCTTCCGCTAATGATGACTGAAGCAATGACCTCGGTTATCATGGGGCAATCTCCATGATGGAGCTCCACTTGGGCCAAGCTGCACGATTCTCCGATAATTGCTTGGCAGAAACTAAACGAAGAAGATCGATAGGAGTTTGCCTCCTGTTCCATCTGTCTCTTCCGTTTAACATTTTCATATCTCGATTCGAAGACCAGTACAATTTCTTCCACGGCGATAGCTGGAACGTCGAGTTTGTCTTTTTTTTTCTTCTTCCATTACGTTTCAGGCGGACGCGTTTCAGTTTGATTTCAAGATTAATTTACACTCAACAATCGCGTTACATTAATCTAGAGTGAACAATTGCGTTACATTAATTTAGAATGAACAATTGCGTTACATTAATTTAGAATGAACAATTGCGTTACATTAATTTAGAATGAACAATGGCGTTATATTAATTT